GCTGCAGAAACTTCCACAAGAAAACATGAAGATGATTTGTTTTTTTTTTTTTGACTTACTGAGCAGCATGCTGATACATTTTGGGGTTAGCATTTGCTGTCTACTGCGGAATTAAAAATTGTTTTACGCTGGGATCACAACTCCACAGAATAATCTTCCTTCATGTATGTCGGTGGCTACAGGAACTATCGACACAGTCTTTCAAACGAATTGACATATTTCACAGAAAACAAATGATAATAACTGGTATATTTTATCAAATGAAAACTGATTTGGCTTATGGCTTATACAAAAGAGGTTACAAATATTTGTTTTGTGTGATCAACTTGTTGCGAAATATGTTTGGTTGGCACCACTTCTGACCTCCAAAACGGTACCTGAGTTAGTGCAAGCACTGAAATTCACAATGAACAAAATCTTTCGTGGACGTCACACACCCGTTTGTAAATTGGGCGACATGTACGGAAAAATTTGAAAAAAACATTTACTTGCCTTATTGATCAGAGTGATAAAACAACACGATGTTATCAACGATATCGAAAGCATACTTTGATCAAAACACACGCAAAGTGGGAAAATCTAGCGTCAAAAAAGTGAAAGTAATTTGAGAATGTTATCATCCTAGTTTTGCTTCTTGGATTGCAGTCTCACAAGTCGTCCATTTGAAATAAGAATCCATGAAAAAGCCGTTAAACATCATATATCCGTCCTCGTCATTATCACTACAAAAGACACAAATAGAAACACAGTAGCTACTAAAGGATCAACAGTGAAAGTGGTGTGGTGATCGTGTCCCGATCTCTTTGGTGTTTTGCGGGAATGGAGTCCTATCGGAAACGTAAGTTTGCAATAAACAGATAAGCAAGAGTGGTTGATTGTATAGAGCATTTTCATTCCCAATATACCGTTAATATATGCAACGGTAATAATAGAAGTAATAGCAGCAGCACCAGCCCCACAAAGACTGGAACATCTTGGAACATTATGAAAGAAGTCTTTTGAGATTGGTCAACTCCGCCCTGACAATAACTGTTGAAAAATGAATAATAATGTTGTTTTTTTTATCTTCCTCTACCCAATGACAGTTGTCTGAATGTGTTTCTCTCAAACAAACTGTGTTACTTTACAACGAACTATCCCAGACAATATAACTAGACCACGAAGTCCATTGGAAAGTAATTTTGGTAGAAATCATGTATCCCACCTAAGTCTTGAATATTAATCACCTTCTTCTGTAGAAATATTTGATGAACACGTATAGTGACAGTTGTACAAATAAGATCCTCTTGCGAAAAGAAATTATGTAGGCATCCAATTCCAACTGAATTTGTACAACACGAGAATTCTTGACGGATATTATTTTGATCTGCGACATCTCGATGATAATTTTCGTCTATGTTCAACGATAAGTATCGCAACTCACTCACCAAAAGCAAGTGCTTGATTATCGTCTACAAAGAACCCTCTCACATAGCCTACAGATGGATAAAATTGATAGCAGAAAACACAGCCCATAAAATTAATTTGCTCTTTAGGGTGGAAACATGGACATATCTCATAACCGAAAAAATACTACCACCAACTACAACAACAACAACAACAACAACAACAACAACAACAACAACAACAACAAATTCTTGAAGGAATGCCATAACAGCTCAAGCTGAATGAAAGGTTTGGTTTAATATTTATAAACTCTGACGTGGTCGAGTACATTGTAGTTGGAAGAGCCATACCATTTCAGATGGATTTTGCGATAGCTGTTTAGAATATAGGTGGACTCACGAATCACGCTCACCGAGAACTTGCTTGTCACTTTGATTTTTCCGTCAGTACATCGTATTTTGAAATGTGAATATTGGTGCGAAAGGAGTCCGCAGACAAAATATTTTATCCACCAAATGAAAAGTCATGAAGAAAATTCACTTCCGCTAACGATTCTCGAGCTATTTTCGAAACACATATCACGTGCATCTAGGAATAGTTCAACAACGAGGACATGGTTTTTGGAGAGCACTAAAACCATTGTTTACAAAAGACTGTTTGCCTTGAAACACCATGTCATCTCTTATAAAAAAATAACTAATTTGAAACGTAATGGTCGACAAAATGAATCCTAAGTAATTATTACTGAGTAATGGAAAACTGCGCTGATTTAGACAGAAGAAAGCTCTAATGGACCGTCCTTGAAAAATATCATACGTCTTTTGAAGAAGTTATAGGACTTCCTCGCAGAAGCAAGAACAAGGCAACCATGGATGTAGAAAACATTAAGACAAAAAGACACAAAACAATCAGAGACTTAGACATGTTTGATTAATAAATAAATACCCCCTCCACCAAAAGCGAACATAAAAAGATGTTGCGCTAAGATTAGTTCCAATGTTACAAGATGGAATTCGTTTGTTTTTTCATGCCACCAAAATTATAAAGATTAAATAATACCGGTGGTGATGTGATGTGATTATAATTTTTAACGTAGCTTTAACAATTATTTTTT